ATGACTTCAAATGGATCAATATCAAAATGTCTATCTACTGGTGATGACTTGCATGGACTTACTTGTTCCCAAAAATAAGATGATCAGGTTCTTGATGAAGTCTACAAGACCATTTGAACTCTTCTGGACTTCTCTGACTCGCCCAAAGAGTGACTCATAGGTGGGTGGAGGGACTGCAAGAGAAGTGCATGGTTGGATTATGATACCAAGGTGGATTATGGGGCTGGCAGCAAGAACAGTCATTATCTATCAAATGCCTACATGTATTTCTCATTCATTATGAGATCTGCAAAAGGAGCAAGAAATATAGAAAAGGGAAAATAAGAAAGAAAGCAAGAATCAAAAAGAATTAATTAAAGGAAAAAGGACAGAAGGAGAAAGGACTAACTATAGATTTAAAGATATAACAATGAAAATTAGGGGAAGCACAGGAAAGAAAAAGTAAAAGGAAACCTCAGTTAAAAGAAAGTCAAGAACATGATAGCCTTTTGCCTACCATTGAGGTTTGACATTCATCGTACGAAGGTGGAGGCCCTGGCATAGGTTCCGATGGGCTCATCTCAGGCGGCTGGAAGGAGTAGGCAGGCGGAGGCCCAAGCATGTCCTCTAGGGGGGGATGCTATCAGTTGTAGTTATCTGAAAATATAATCGCAGCCAATAAGGTAAATCTTCACACTCTATTTTCAGAAATAAAAATCTCTTTCACTGACTCCTCTCACCTTTATCATCAGAGCCCACGAAGTGTGAGTTAAGTTACCGTGCGAGGTGATGGCGGTGGGAGGGGTGTGGTGGGGGTCTCCGTCTGGAAGAGGTGGTGTGATCACATCCCGGGGGTGGAGGCAGCACTGCTACTACCTTCTAGCTCCTGGAAGAAGTGATAGTGTAAGGATAAAGAGACTTAAATGAAAAGAGAAAAACTTAACATAATAATGATGATAATGATTATGATAATGATAATAATGATGATATTGACAATGATAATGATAATGATAATGATAATGATAATGATAATGATTCGATACTGTATTATGTGAATGAACAAAAGAATGAACCCATCATAAAAAAAACAAGAGAATGAACCTATCATAAAAAAACAAGAGAATGAACCCATCATAAAAGAACAAGAGATTTAACCCATCATAAAGAACAAGAGAATGAACCAATCATAAAGAACAAGTGAATGAACCCATCATAAAAGAACAAAACAATGAACCCATCATAAAGAACAAGAGAATGAACCCATCACAAAGAATAAGAAAATGAACCCATCATAAAGAACAAGAGAATGAACCCATCATAAAAGAACAAGTGAATGAACCCATCATAAAGAACAAGAGAATGAACCCATCATAAAAGAATAAGAGAATGAACCCATCATAAAAGAACAAAAGAATGAACCCATCATAAAAGAACAAGAGAATGAACCCATCATAAAAGAACAAGTGAATGTACCCATCATAAAAGAACAAGAGAATGAACTCACCATAAAAGAACAAGTGAATGAACCCATCATAAAAGAACAAAACAATGAAGCCATCATAAAGAACAAGTGAATGAACCCACCATAAAAGAACAAGTGAATGAACCCATCATAAAAGAACAAATAAATGAACCCATCATAAAAGAACAAGTGAATGAACCCACCATAAAAGAACAAGTGAATGAACCCACCATAAAAGAACAAGTGAATGAACCCATCATAAAAGAACAAGTGAATGAACCCACCATAAAAGAACAAGTGAATGAACCCATCATAAAAGAACAAGTGAATGAACCCACCATAAAGAACAAGTGAATGAACCCATCATAAAGAACAAGTGAATGAACCCACCATAAAAGAACAAGTGAATGAACCCATCATAAAAGAACAAGAGAATGAACCCAACATAAAAGAACAAGTGAATGAACCCATCATAAAGAACAAGAGAATGAACCCATCATAAAAGAACAAGAGAATGAACCCATCATAAAAGAACAAGTGAATGAACCCATCATAAAAGAACAAGTGAATGAACCCATCATAAAAGAACAAGTGAATGAACCCAACATAAAAGAACAAGTGAATGAACCCATCATAAAAGAACAAGTGAATGAACCCACCATAAAGAACAAGTGAATGAACCCATCATAAAAGAACAAGTGAATGAACCCACCATAAAAGAACAAGTGAATGAACCCATCATAAAGAACAAAACAATGAACCCATCATAAAAGAACAAGTGAATGAACCCATCATAAAAGAACAAAACAATGAACCCATCATAAAGAACAAGAGAAAGAACCCATCATAAAAGAACAAGTGAATGAACCCAACATAAATGAAGAAGTGAATGAACCCATCATAAAAGAACAAAACAATGAACAAGTGAATGAACCCATCATAAAAGAACAAGTGAATGAACCCATCATAAAAAAAACAAGTGAATGAACCCACCATAAAAGAACAAGTGATTGAACCCATCATAAAAGAACAAGTGAATGAACCCATCATAAAAGAACAAAACAATGAACAAGAGAATGAACCCAAAATAAAAGAACAAGTGAATGAACCCACCATAAAAGAACAAGTGAATGAACCCATCATAAAGAACAAGTGAATGAACCCATCATAAAAGAACAAAACAATGAACCCATCATAAATGAACAAGAGAATGAACCCAAAATAAAAGAACAAGTGAATGAACCCACCATAAAAGAACAAGTGAATGAACCCACCATAAAAGAACAAGTGAATGAACCCATCATAAAGAACAAGTGAATGAACCCATCATAAAAGAACAAAACAATGAACCCATCATAAATGAACAAGAGAATGAACCCACCATAAAAGAACAAGTGAATGAACCCATCATAAAGAACAAGTGAATGAACCCATCATAAAAGAACAAGTGAATGAACCCATCATAAAGAACAAGTGAATGAACCCACCATAAAAGAACAAGTGAATGAAACCCATCATAAAGAACAAGTGAATGAACCCATCATAAAAGAACAAAACAATGAACCCATCATAAATGAACAAGAGAATGAACCCAACATAAAAGAACAAGTGAATGAACCCATCATAAAAGAACAAGTGAATGAACCCATCATAAAAGAACAAAACAATGAACCCATCATAAAGAACAAGTGAATGAACCCAACATAAAAGAACAAGTGAATGAACCCAACATAAAAGAACAAGTGAATGAACCCACCATAAAAGAACAAGTGAATGAACCCATCATAAAAGAACAAAACAATGAACCCATCATAAAAGAACAAGTGAATGAACCCATCATAAAAGAACAAGTGAATGAACCCATCATAAAAGAACAAGTGAATGAACCCATCATAAAAGAACAAGTGGATGAACCCACCATAAAAGAACAAGTGGATGAACCCATCATAAAAGAACAAGTGAATGAACCCATCATAAAAGAACAAGTGAATGAACCCACCATAAAAGAACAAGTGAATGAACCCATCATAAAAGAACAAGAGAATGAACCCATCATAAAAGAACAAGTGAATGAACCCACCATAAAAGAACAAGTGAATGAACCCATCATAAAAGAACAAGTGAATGAACCCATCATAAAAGAACAAGTGGATGAACCCACCATAAAAGAACAAGTGAATGAACCCATCATAAAAGAACAAGTGAATGAACCCATCATAAAAGAACAAGTGAATGAACCCACCATAAAAGAACAAGAGAATGAACCCAACATAAAAGAACAAGTGAATGAACCCATCATAAAAGAACAAAACAATGAACCCAACATAAAAGAACAAGTGAATGAACCCATCATAAAAGAACAAAACAATGAACCCAACATAAAAGAACAAGTGAATGAACCCATCATAAAAGAACAAGTGAATGAACCATCATAAAAGAACAAAACAATGAACCCAACATAAAAGAACAAGTGAATGAACCCATCATAAAAGAACAAGTGAATGAACCCACCATAAAAGAACAAGTGAATGAACTCATCATAAAAGAACAAGTGAATGAACCCACCATAAAAGAACAAGAGAATGAACCCAACATAAAAGAACAAGTGAATGAACCCATCATAAAAGAACAAAACAATGAACCCATCATAAAAGAACAAGTGAATGAACCCATCATAAAAGAACAAAACAATGAACCATACATAAAAAACAAGTGAATGAACCCATCATAAAAGAACAAGTGAATGAACCCACCATAAAAGAACAAGTGAATGAACCCATCATAAAAGAACAAGTGAATGAACCCATCATAAAAGAACAAGTGAATGAACCCATCATAAAAGAACAAGTGAATGAACCCACCATAAAAGAACAAGTGAATGAACTCATCATAAAAGAACAAGTGAATGAACCCACCATAAAAGAACAAGAGAATGAACCCAACATAAAAGAACAAGTGAATGAACCCATCATAAAAGAACAAAACAATGAACCCATCATAAAAGAACAAGTGAATGAACCCATCATAAAAGAACAAAACAATGAACCCAACATAAAAGAACAAGTGAATGAACCCATCATAAAAGAACAAGTGAATGAACCCATCATAAAAGAACAAGTGAATGAACCCACCATAAAAGAACAAGTGAATGAACCCATCATAAAAGAACAAGTGAATGAACTCACCATAAAAAAACAAGTGAATGAACCCATCATAAAAGAACAAGTGAATGAACCCATCATAAAAGAACAAAACAATGAACCCATCATAAATGAACAAGAGAATGAACCCCATTGTAAAAGCATAAAATATAAGAAAGATTGCCATGTGAAAAAAAAATTTCATAACTCAGAAAGTATGTCCCTAGACCCCCTCCTGGTCGCCGTATTTCCCTATTGGTTGCTCTGCCCCCTGACCCACTCCCAGTTATTATATTTCCCTATTGGGGCTTTGCCCCCAGATCCCCTCTCAGTCGCTGTATTTTCCTACCTGAGGCTCTGCCCCCACTCACCCTCCCAAACACCACCAAATAGTCATTTAAAGATACAAATTGAGTTTA